CCAAGCGTTGAAATATAAAGATTCCCATAGAAGCCAAACGTTGAAATATAAAGATTCCCATAGAAGCCAAACGTTGAAATATAAAGATTCCCATAGAAGCCAAGCGTTGAAATATAAAGATTCCCATAGAAGCCAAACGTTGAAATATAAAGATTCCCATAGAAGCCAAACGTTGAAATATAAAGATTCCCGTAGAAGCCAGACGCTTAAAATATAAAGATTCCCAAAGAAGCAAAATGTTGAAATATAAAGATTCGCACAGAAGTCAAACGTTGAAATGTAAAGGTTCCCATAAAAACCAAATATTGAAACATAAAAATTTCCATAGAAGCCAGGTGTTGAATTGAAAAGTTTCAACAAAAAAGGATTGAAACTTCACATGAATTATGAGAAAATTAGATAAAATTTAGTGTAAGAATTATAAATCGGTAATTGTTGCATATCATTTGATATATATGATAAATGAATATAAAATGCATCCGTTGATACATCTATGAGCATTATTAGGTTGAATTTTCAATGAAATTACTATAAACTAATCTTTAAAAAATATTTATTATGTAATGAATTATCATATATAACATTTCAGATATTATTTTTTTGATAAATATAATTTAATTTAAACAGCATAGTAAGGTTATAAAGGAAATTAAATAGAATAGATATGATATGATAAAACATAGCAATTATTAGTGATAATCCTTTCTTCTGATAACTTATATTATTTTGATAAAATAATAAGAAACAAAGAAACAAATGGAACATTTCTAGCAATATCGATATGATTGATTACGACGCAGCATTAACAAAATTTTAATTGTTACTAATTCTGATTCTTATTTGGTTTAATAAAAATTTTCAATCTTATCTTTTATCATTGCTAATCATTTTCTTAACAAAAATTTACTTATCAGCTCACTGTAACTGATATCTTTACAATAAAAGACGATTACAATTGATGTGCGAAATTGCACCAAAGTATATGCATCTACTACAAAAATGCATGTCTAGACAGTCCAATGCAAACTGCAAGCACATCTGTATCATCGTGCAAAAATATGATTCATGATATAGAAAGATCATTACAGTCGTGCATTGATAAAGGAAATGGATCAGCAATTTGATTTATTTGAATTTAAAATTTGAAAAGAGTTTTAAAAAGCTTCAACAACACTTTTTCATCCCTTCCTTTTTTTTTTCTTATTTTGCTGCAAAATGTATATTATATTATATTTCGAGTATAAAATTTTACTGTAATTAGTCAAAAGATCAAATCGATTAAGGTAATATAAATGATGAAAGAAAGAGAAAATAGTCCAAGGGTAAAGGGTAAAAGGGTAAAAGTAAATGGTTGACACTTCTCAAAAAAAAAAAAAAAAGAAAAAAAAAGGGGAAGAAATCATTATGCATTTATATGACCCAATATGTCACATCTCTTCTTGTCATCGTAATTGCTTGCCAGTTAACGGGGGAAACTGGTTC